AACGCATGTCAACCATTACTTATAGTATTTGACATGATGGACAACAAATGTTTGGCAGGTACGAACAAAGGAACATTTAGGGAAAATGATTCATCTTTTATAATTATGTTTTCGTCGAGTTTTCATTATTTTCACGATGTATTCTGCTTTTCGGGGCGGGGACAAATCTAACGAACCAAAAACCATGAAAATTGGTCTAGCCGATCTCGAGTTATAAGTGTTGTAACAAACCCGACTTTGTTTTATATATATAGAAAATGTAAATATCAACAAAAGTGTAGTAATTGTGTATGTTTTGAAATTGAAGTGCAAAATATTATATTCCATTTGGCACAGGAATATATAAATTTTTTTCCACTCTAGCAAATTTGTTCACACCTATTCGAAATAGTGAAAAAAAATACTGATTGGCACACAGCTTTAAATAAGCTTGACATTCAAGAAAATTGATAGGTTTCGGTGGTTCTTGTAGGACATTTCAGCAAAAAGAAAGTATTTTCTGTGGCAATACTAAATATTATACACACTTTGGTTCATAATCGATATATTGTTTGGTTCGTCTTTGTTCGTATTTGGAACAGTTTGTTATTAAGTGGTATTGATTATTGGCTGTTATCAAGGAAGTAATGTTTACTGTAAAAGTGGTTTTTATACATTTTACATTGAATTTTCACCACAGAATTGAATAGATTAATTCGCGTTATCATAAGTAAGTTTAAGTAAACATAAATTTAATTATTTGTAAACATTACAAAACTATGGTACATTACCGGCCAAAGTCATACATATATGGGTTTACTATCGCTTAAATGGTATTTCGGAATGAGGGTGTTAATATGTCAATCCAAATATGACGCAAAAATATTGATATAATGTGGGCGCGTGTAGTTTAACAATATGTCTACAACTTTTAAATCGAAAATTGTGTATACAAATGAGAAGTAACACAAATTAATTGTTTTCCGTTGAATTTTGTCATGGTAAGTTTATTTTAAATTATATCCTGCAATTGTAACACGTCCTAGTCTGTTGGATAATACTTTGACTTTTTTATAAGTTCTTTATGAATTCGTTGCGTTTAAGTTCCTTTGATTATACACCAAAACTTTAAATGCCTTTCTCACAATTCCCAATAATTAGGTTTAGGTGGGCTTTAGAATACCGTCCCCGAATTAGGGTTTAGAATGGATATAGGTATAGAGGTATTTCTCTTTAAATTATAATTATTAAGATATTTGCATTTAAATATCAATAAATTCGGAGTAAATGAAGGAAGCCCCAAAAATGAATTTTTTTAAATCGTCCTTTTTTAACGCGAAGATTACAAATCCGTGAGCGGAAAGTAAATTTTTTCAATAATTTATGTACATAGACATACACACGTGCTCACGTAATTAAGTCACTGCATGGCAAACTAACGTTTCACAATATAAAGTCCNGAGAAATACAACATTTAATGGCGGTAGGGAAATAGTACGGATGAGCCAGGTGGATCCTTTTTTGACCTCACGTGAAATTAGAGCCCAAATGGGGCATAAACAAGGTGTACGTGTATCAGCATAGATAGTCCGCCGCAAATTGCAAAAAAACTCCCTCAATGGGCGAATTGCACGACGTAAACTGAACGTACCAAAAAAGAACAACAGACCAGGGTTATTTTTTTTTAAAGCGCGGCCGAAAGCCGCCAGTGAAGAAAGGAGTTGCCACGCGAAATAACATGTGCAAAGTGTGTTCATTTTTTGGATTTTTTCTGTAAAATTTCATTTGTTTAAAAAATAAAAAAAAAATAATTATTGTAAAATCGACTTTACGCTCACGGATTTGTAATCTTTGCGTCAAAATAAGACGATTTAAAAAAGTTATAATTTTCGGAGCCTCCTTTGTTGAGGGACCAAAACTATACATTTATCAAACATTCAACTATTTTTATAAATTTTTCGATTACCGACCGGATTGCCCGGATAAACCTCGTAGTATTTCGAACTGTATATAGTTATTTCGTATGCAAAGAAATATATGGTAACGAAGCGAAGTGTGTCTATGACTTATGATATATGTTGGCCCTAAATATTAATGTATTTGATTTAAAATTTCGCTCGAAAAACGGGAGTGGATATTATTATTATTGTATTGTTATTATTATTATTGTTATTATTATTATTTTTAATATTGTTATTATTATTATTGTTATTATTATTATTTTTAATATTGTTATTATTATTATTATGGTTGGTGTTATTATTATTATTATTGTTGTTGTTATTATTGTTATTATTATTGGGTCGGCTTTAGTATATCATCCCAGGATTTCAGGGTTAAAAGGGGTATGGTAGGATAAAAGAGATTCTCCAGATCAAGAATATATGCAATTATAGCCGCCGGAAACTTATAGTTTTCGAGATATTTGCATTTTAATTTAAAAATTTTACAACTTTTACCTTGCAATTTCTCGATTTATATTTAAGTTTTCGTTTATACACTAACACTTTACTACATTGTTTCTAAATATTTATTTTGTATATATTATTTTCATATTTGCTTTAAATAAGCATATCTTTTTTTTTACATAATCTTCGTTATATCCACTAGCACCAAAAAGGGTTCCATGTTGACAAATAATAAGTGTTCCCATATTTATTATATATATCTATATATATATATATATATATATATATATATATATTTTGCAAACGAATTGAAATGAATGACAAAAGAGGATTATACCCAAAATACATAAATCACAATTATTTTTGTTTCCTTCCCTTGATGAATCACGGTATTGGATCGACCAGGGTTATTTAAAAATTTGCAAATAAAAAAATAAATATCTCCAAATTTATAAGCTTCTGGTGGCTATAATTACATAAATTCTTGATCTGGAGAATCTCCTCTATCTGACCATACCCCTTTAAACCCTGAAATCGTGGGATGGTTACTAAAGTTTCCCCTTATTATTATTATTTTTATTGTTATATGTCGCCCACCTTGGAATCGCGTGTGCATTATTTCAGGGTGGCGTTCCATTTTGCTCATTGAGAGATTTACATACCCGTTTTTTGCTGCGGTGCAAAGTTGCTGCTAATTTCTACATCTATTTTTCTTCTTTTTCCTATTTGTTTTATTTTAGTTTTGCAATAGAACTGCAGCAGACCCTAATAAGAGTAAGTTACCTTCCGATGACGACATTACAGCCAAGCACTGTGAGTGCAAATATAAAATGATGATTAGCAGGCTAGTACGTTGTCTAAGACTCTCAAGTAAATATAATATCAAGAAAAGCGTCGTAATTGCGTATGGTTTGGAATCGAAGTTCAAAATATTACATTCCATTTGGCACAGAAATATGTAAATTTTTTTACTCTCAAGCAAATTAGTTCACCCCTGTTCAACACAGTGCAAAAAATTACTGATTGGCACACAGCTTTAAATAAACTTGACAATAATGAAAATTGATAGGTTTCGGTGGTTCTGGTAGGACATTTCGGTAAAAAGAAAGTATTTTCTGTGGCAACAATAAATAATATACACACTTTGGGCAATTATCGATATATTGTTTTGTTCGACACTACTGGTATTCTGTACAGCATGTTTTTAAGTGGCATTGGCTGTTATCAAGGAAGTAATGTCTAGTGTAAAAGTGGTTCTTATACATTTTACATTGAATTTCCACCACAGAATCCAATAGATTAATTCGCGTTAACTAAGTTTACGTAAACATAAATTTAATTATTTTTAGATGAAATATTTAGAAACATTTCAAAACTATGTTTTGTATTATATTATAGTTACATTACCGGTCAAAGTTATACATATATGGGTTTACTATCGCTTAAATGGTATTTCGGATTGAGGGTGTTAATATGTCAATCCAAATATAACGCAAAATATTAATAAAATGTATATTTTAAGGAAAATATAAGTGTATAATTCATTTCAAATCGCAAAAATACGTAATTTAATTAGTTAAAATTTTCAACTTTAAATGTAAATATCTCGAAAACTATAAGTTTCCCGCAGCTATATCTATATATATTCTTGATCTGGAGGATCTTTTCTATCCGCCCATACCCATTTTATCCCCGAAAGTCTAAATGGTATACTAGAGTTTTCCCATTTTAAATTATATCCTGCAGTTGTAACTCGGTCTAGTCTGGTGGATAATATTTTGACTTTTTTATAAGTTCTTTTTAAATTTGTTGCGTTTAAGTTCCTTCGGTTACACACCAAAACTTTTAATGCCTTTCTCACAATTCTTAATAGTTAGGTTGGAATTGATCGATTGGGCTGGGCTTTAGAATCTGACATCTGTCCCATCGGGTTACTGTGGTCTATGGGCGCCACGATCAAACGTCGTCTCGCTGATGCTGTTGTCTTGGATTTTGTCGGTTTGTTGTCCGCGTGCTTGACATCTAGCTTCTGGGCTACGTCCTTGTACATCCTCTTTTTCAAAGCTTCAGTTCGATCTCTTCCGAACGCTGCCTCTTTTCAGCGCTAGTGTTAATTCCATTTTTTTTTAATGCATATTTTTCAACCCTGGTGATGAAATAAACGCGTCAAAGTTCGAAGCGCTACACCGACATGGCATGATGGGCGGAACTTCCGAAAGGACCATTTCTTAGATTTTTAGTCGGATCGATTACAAATTTTGATAGAATATTTTAAACATATTATAATGTTTAATAAGACAGAAACAAAAAAATACGAGCTCGATTGTTTTTTGAATTTTAAACCAACGTAACCCTTTCAGTTAGTAAATTTGTCAATTAAACATGAAGGTAAAACCCATTAACTGGCCGTAAGGTATCTAAATACATTTCTCTAATTATGAAAATATAGTACATGGAATTTTATTAAATTAGTTTTGATTTCACGAGTCCTAATAGTGTAAGTAAAAACGCATTAATCCTATCTCTTATGCCTTGTTGCCATATACATTTTATTGTTAATAACAATTTGCTTCTTAATCTTATTTTTTTTTTACTGTTTAATCCTTATTTTAGGCTAAAATATAATCGACTGAAAGTATAAAGCTATTTTGATACTCGTGTAGTCAAGTTGCAATATATATAGCGATATCGCAATTGTTATCTAATTGTGGTTTTTGGCTGATATATCAATAGTTTTTATACTATTCATATTATTATCATCTTTTCAACCGTTTGGTAAAGTTCGTACGAAATTTTACAAAGGCTTAATATAAATCGCAACTGCTTAACGTGTGCTATAAATAAAGAATATTTAGATATGGCTGCAATACAGGCAAGTGTCAAACTGCTTTCGCCCACTGTGAATGTTTGCTCATCAAACATGTTGTCCATAAAATCTACATCGGTATCATCAACAACAACTATGATGTCCGCGCCCGTATCTACAAATGTTAATATATTATCTGCACCTTCTAGAGGATCTTCTCAGCTAGCCTTCAATAGTCTAGTTTCAGTAGAGCGATCACAGCAACATGATGCAGATGGAGATCAGCGAACATTACAACTCGCTTGGAGGTTATCAGTCGGTGGTGCAAATGAATCGGCTACAGAACAACTATCTTTAAGTACTATTAACAACCGTAAAAAATCCAACAATGCAATTAATCAACACGAACTAGCTCACCGACAAGTAATTGCAAACTCGCCGCAGGAACTGCTGAATCAAAAAGTTGATATAGGTATAGATAAAAGTATTCTGCCTACTGTTTCAGCTGCTACTACCAATGGTTTTAGTCAAAATAATATAAATGGTTTAACTAGTAGAAATAGTAGTATATCATTTAATAATTTTTCGATGCCTACACTACTATTACCAACTACAATGGAAGATCGTTCTAAGAGATCCCAAAATATGACGGAATGTGTGCCAGTGCCCAGCTCCGAACACGTTGCCGAAATAGTAGGACGTCAAGGTAGGTAAATTTCAGTGGATGCATGCAAATATTTTTAGAGAAGTAATAATATATATTGTTATTTATCCGCTGTGCTTTAAATACGAATTTTTTAAATGAAATGTTTTTGATTCAAGTTTAATTGAGATCATCGTTTTATTTCTTGGACCTTAATTATTTTCACTGTTTTACTAATATTAAACCATTCAACTGGTATTGTTTCTTAGACCAGCACGCGAAGACTTTTGTTGCTCATTATCGGGAAATGTACGCTTGAAGTAAACATTTTTTATTACATAACTATACTCTGATATTAAGTTTGCTACGAAGTTTGTAACATGCAGAAAGAAAATAGGAGACCTTATATATATATATATATATAAAAAATAAGTGTGACAAGCGAGCCCATGTATATACGCTAATCAGTCTCTCAGTTTTTGAAATATCGACCCGAAATTTTGCACAAATTCTTTTCTCCCTATGAAACTCTCGGAACTGCCGATATCGGATCGCTATAGCTAAATCAAAAACAATTTTTATTTGAAAAACTTTTTTTATTTGTGAAGGGTGTGATAGCTTCGGTACAACTGAGGTTAACGTTTTTTATGCTAATTTGTATTCTTATTTAATCTTTTCGAAATATTTGTATAATATTATGCATATTTGCATAAATACATATGTACATTTTGACCGCAATTGCAACCATTTTAAGTAGTTCAAAATGCCGAAATGTGTTGCTGCAAAATTGTTACGAACAAGAACACAAAGCATTTTACCCGTGCACGAGCTGTCGATTCCCTGTCTTTCCTCGGCTACAAAAGTGCGACAAAAGTCTTCTTGTGTAAACTGTTAATTCAGTCTTATAGTTAAGACCTGTTCACTGAGTTGCGTTGTGAACTAAGGTGGTGTGATGGCTACATTCCCTGCAAGATACCTATCGGTTAAATCACGGTTAATTACCCAACAGCGCTATCAGTGATTTCCGTAAAAGTTTCTATATCTTTATCAAGGCCCAATTGATAATTCTAATCGAAACCCTTGTGTACGTGTGATCCTCCACCCTTACCCTACGCATAGGGCTTATGAGTTGCACGATGTGTATATGGTAGTTTCTGCGCTAATTCTTTCATAGTAATAAGGTTTCGGTAGTCGGAACTAGCTGGGTTTCTTCCCAAATATTGACAAGTTACCGTTGCCTTCCATTTAATATTCTTGCTTAGTTCCATTTCCGCTACTGCTGTTTACTTATCTAAACAGAATTAGGTCGCTGAAAGGAAAGCATTTCGCAGAATTGAAACCAGGTTAAATCTGTTAATGGGAATTGAGTTCCATTTCTTTCCACTTTTCAAGCAAAGAATCTGTCCATTTTATAAATGTTCTGCTATAATAGTTTAGCGATATGAGTAGAAGGGTTTGGTTAATTAGATACATAGCAGATTATATGGTTCTCGATTCTAATATTATATTTTACCATTGAAATTACTAAATACAATTGTATTCTGGCTATTGTAGCCGCTATTCAAACCCCTTATAGTGGTAAGGCATTATGAAGTATTTCTATCGAGAGGTCTAGGAAGCGATCAGTCCCATACGATCGAACCGTAGGGGAACAAGAACTAGGAACCAAAAATCTGGAAAGATTTTCGAATACATAGACATTGCTTGAACCAAAATGTAAATATAAATTACAACAATTCTAAATGTATGATGGGAAGTTTTTATCATCGGTGCCTTTTAGTATATAAGCCGAAAATTGCGAAAGTGTAATTCATATCATAAATCATTATAATCGAAAAAATCCAATCGTTAGTATGGCCCCAATTCCTGATTATCGAACACTGAAGTTATAGATGATTTACACTGCACAGAATGAAAAAAAGTTGATCATTCATAACAAAATGGGCAAGTTTAACGTTTGTTTGTATCACCTAAAACTAATCGAGATAGATATCGAGTTACATATATATATAAATGCTCTGTCTGTGCAAGCGATAACTTGTGTCAAAATTAAGATATCTTGATGAAACTTGGTAGACATATACCTTTGTACCCAAGGGAGGTTGCCATTGATTTTATCCCCTGTTCAAGCTCTATGAAAATGAGTAAAATGGGACAATAACCACGCCCACTCCCCATATATCAGTTATCTTGAAAACTACTAAAAGTACTATAACTCGCTCAATAAATGAGCCAAAAGCAATACATTTCACAACCAGGATGGTAGGGAAGGGTTTTATAGGGTCTGGTGTGAAAATTGGGCAAGGGGCGTGTCACCGCTCAGCTATAGGTGAAATCCTGTATCTCAGGAATCACTCGGTCGATTTCAACCAGATTTGCTGTGTGAAGTTACATGAATATTCTTATTAGACACTGCAAACCTGCGAATTCGGATGACAACCACGCCCATACAACAAACTTTTAAATTCTGTCTGATTCTTTCACTTAACAGTGTACTAATCAAACATCAATAAAGTTATTAGAATAAAACTTAGCACAAATAGTGCTCATATATCATCCTAAGTCCAAAAATTGTCAAAATTGCACAAAAACTTGTGCAAAGATTAATCTCTTAACGCAATAGGGTGTACACAATTTTTTGTCAGTCCGTCTTTATCGAAAAAACATAAACTTGATGATTTGCTCTCGCGAGAACATGCCACATAAAGTTGTCCGTGGAAAAAGCACGGTGTGCCTAAATCTAAGCCAGACACAGTTGGTGCTTGCAATGATCCCAATAGCAATCAATGCTTCATTGTACATTGCGTCACTGATTGATATCGTTAGATCGATGTCGATAAAATATGTCATCAGTCATTGAAACTTTGTGATTATCCCACAACATTTGTGATAGTAGACGAATTTGTGTTCCTCTGCAGTTTAATGCTGATTCAGCAAGCCTACTGTCCCAATGATTGTCATCTCCTAGCAAGGCCAGTGCGAGAAACGATTCTTTATACGTTTGATACTGTTTTCTGTTTACTTTACGTATATCTTGAAACGACAATGGTCTGGTCACATAAATCAACAACAGTCGCAAAAGCACGCAGTCTGAGTAAACCGGGGCACCTATCTACTGGTATGCTTTACTTTCGGGGGTATCTATTTTTTCGAATCCACCCATGTAAAATACAGGAATACTTTTGAATAGAGCAGTGTTTGTACAAAAGCAACAACATAATCCGGACTATTAAGCAATTCAATGAATTCGGTGAGCGTAGTTTTTGGTGGATTTATAGCACCATCAAGCACTGCTTTGTTTGTGAAAGATACGCGTTTGTCGTTTTCAAGATGCACAAAGAAATAATGTTGAATTCACTATGATAAAAAAATTAAATTAAGAGCTGTACTGTAAAAGTAAAATTATACGTATAATATGATTTTATTCATATTCAATTAAGAACGAACTGTTTCCTATTTTTAACTACGTAAAGATCTTTTTTTATAACCTTTAAGCATTTATCGTCGTCAAGTTTCCGCAAATATGTTTATGCTTTAGTTACCGTTCTTGATCTATGGCGAGGTGCTGAATCATCATTCTGACCCTGAATATTATTTTTTCAGTGGGTTTTAACTGCTGTTCAATAGTTGTTCTTTTCAAATTTCATTGTATAAGCTTCTCAACATCTAACTTGGTTATATTCTCAGACCATTAAGTAGAGAGAATTATTTGGGGTGGGCAAAACACAGCTTTCCAAAGACCAATCTCCTTTACTATGACGAACTTTCGCATTTCCGTTGAGTTCAAACAAATTATTCTTAGAGTCATCGGCAAAAATAACATTTCCCCAGTTTGATAAAGTCCAAATTTTGTATAATTTTCCAACTCTATTTGTGTTTTCTTTATTTGGGAAAAAAAAGTTGTTTTACAACTGGACGTTACGCACGTAATAAAAGATTAGTGAGAACATTTTGAATCCTACGACTAGTTATATTTCTTTAACAGCGTGGGTTTTCTTTTCTCTGAGTTTTTTTCCCTTATCATGCTCAATTCCAAAGGTCAACATTTTGTCCGTATATCGGCAATAACACGGCGAATGTTGTCTTCCAAATGGTTAAGCGTTTATGGCTTATGCGCATTTTTGTAGTCCCATGACACAGAAGTAGCCTAGCGGTGTTAAATAACTAGATCTTGGAGGCCAATTCAAAGGTTCAAAACGTGAAATTAGGCGGTCACCAAACGTGTCTTTCAATAAATCGATTGCGGCACGAGCTGTGTGACATGTTGCGCCGTCTTGTTGGAACCACAGGTCCTGGACATCATGGTTGTTCTATTTAGGAATGAAAAAGTTAGTAATCATGGCTCTATACCGATCACCATTGACTGTAACGTTCTGGCCATCATCGTTTTTGAAGAAGTATGGACCAATGATTCCTGGATGTAACGGTTTTTCAACATACACTTGTAGATTAGTTTCACTACGGCAGTTTCGTTTGTTGACGTAGCCATTCAACCAGAAGTACGCTTCATCGCATCATACGATAAAATGAACGTAGTGCGCGATACGTATTCCGCACAGAACTATTGGTTTCGAAGTAAAATTGCACTATTTGCAAGCGTTGTTCAGGCGTGAGTCTATTCATGATGAATTGCCAAACCAAACTGAGAATAAATCACTTGACAGCTGTTAAATCAGTCGCCATCTTGAACAGTAATGCCAGTAATGGAAAAAAAAAACACCCGTCATAAATATATGTAGTACCAATTGTGCTTCGAAAATTTAATCCGCAAGGTCACTGACTGGTTATCAGTGTAAAAATTATCCGATAGTAAATAAAAAAAGTACTATCAAAGTCTGTATTGGGAAAAATATCCATAAAATTTGTAAAACATATAACACACAACTTTAAATCACTTTAGTAAACATAAAAGCGGAAATGCATGATCCTACAGCCAACATACTAGGCACAAGAATGCATAAATATAAATCTTGGAGAGGTTAAACGCGAAATATAAGAAAATTTTAATATATTTTTTCAAGATAAAAAAAACTTTTACCGGCATACACATATGTGTATATATA